AATAACAATAATTATTATTCGGTTCTCTTTTGTCAAACTGGCGGCGCATGCGTACATCTCAAACGGGGGCGGGGCTCTCTGGCTCTGCAGGTCGAAGTGTCTCGTCCTGCGTCACGACGCCGCTTGTGATTGGTGGAGAACTTCAGGTTCCACGCAGCCTATTGGCTGCTGCTTGTGTCATTGACAGGATCCTGACAGATGACGACAATCATAATAATCTGGCGGCCATCTTTGCTGAGGTCGTCGAGGAAGTGGAGAAAGAAGAGAACCGCAAAACTAACCGCAAAACTAACCGCCGGTGTTTTGATTCACGCCGGAATGATTCACGCGAGTCCCGCTCTCCCTTCCTCCAGAAATCCGCTCGACTGGAACTGTTAGCTGCGGAGCTAAATGCGACTAGCCGGACCAGCTAGCTGCTGTATGGCCGAGTAGTGGTCGTCAGAGGCGGACTCAGGGCTCAGCTCTGCTCGCTGGCTGTTCTCTGATCCCGGGTCACAGCAGCTGAGTGGTTTATGGTTATTTGACAGATAACACGTTATGAACCGTTCAGGTTCAACTCTAACGTTTTTTAAAATAAGTTTGGATCGAGGTTAGCCCCGGATAGCCTTAGCTGCAGCTTGATCCCGCTGTGGAAACACCATCAACTGTCTCCGGCCTGATCAGTGTGTTGGATCCCGAAGAGGAGAGGGTTAGGTTGGATGATAGCAGGTGGTTTCACTGGTCGCAGGTCCTCCTCGTCCACCAAGCCTGGCCTCAGACTAACTGTATCTGCAGCGCTGGCTCGATCATATTCACCTGTTGTCACATGAAGTGGTTCACATCGGGACTGTGTGACGAGTCCTGACCGGAACATGCTGCCGGCTCTCGGTGTCAAACATCAGTCGAAGCTGCTGTAAAGTGTCAGTCAAGATGGGACCAGAGAGCAAACTGTTCCTCAGTGTTTTCCTCATCTCCTGCTCCTCAGGTGAGTCTGCTGCCATCACACCTGCAGGTGTGAACCTTAACACACGTGCCCACCGGCTGCTGATCAGACGTTGGCAGAAGTCACGATTATTCTTGATATCGATAATCGATCTTCGTATTCAGGGTTTTATCGTTTGTTGTGTATGAAAACTTTTTCCACAACGTTTCACTGCTGCAGTTGACAGTGAAATGTCCTTTCATTGAAAATCAGAAGGTTCAGTTTCCTGAAGAGTACTCTGGTTTAATATGAGCATTATTATCGTTATGACTAGTATTACCATTCTTAATATTCTTATTTTTACTCAGTTAACATCTTTTGAGTTGATTTCTCTTCCATCACACACACCCTACACCACTGATTCTACAGACGGTTCACACTCCACTGGTTTGTTGCTTTTTATAATGATATCCTCAGTTTGCTTAGTAAATATACTTTTGTTAACAATTATCAGTGGTGACATTTTCTCATGATCTTAAGAGCTGGGTTGAGACACAATGAACACACACACACACACACA